GGCGTCTGTAGTCCCAGCTACTCAAGAGGCTGAGGCAGGAGAACGGCATGAACCTGGGAGGCAGAGTTTGCAGTGAGCCAAGATGGCGCCACTGCACTCCAGCCTGGGCGACAGAGTGAGACTCAGTCTCAACAACAGCAGCTGGGCACGGTGGCTCATGCCTATAATCCAGCACTTTGGGAGGCCGAGGTGGGTGGATCACCTGAGGTCAAGAGTTCAAGACCAGCCTGGCCAACATAGCAAAACCCTGTCTCTACTAAAAATACAAAAATTAGTCGGGTATGGTGCCACATGCCTGTAATCCCAGTTACTCGGGAGGCTGAGGCAGGAGAATTGCTTGAATGCAGGAGGCAGAGGTTGCACTGAGCTGAGATCATGCCATTGCACTCCAGCCTGGGCAATAAGAGTGAAACTCTGTCTCAAAACAACAACAACAACAACAGCAAAAGTCTATGAAAATGTGCCATTCAAGGCCAGGTATTGTGGTTCATGCCTATAATTCCAGCACTTCGGGAGGCCAATGCAGGTGGATTGCTTGAGCCTGGGAGTTCAAGACCAGCATGGCCAACATAGTGAAACATCGTCTCTACTGAAAATACAAAAGTTAGCTGAGTATGGTGGTGAGTGCCTGTGGTTCTAACTACTGGGGAGGCTGAGGCACGAGAATCGCTTGAACCCAGGAGGCAGAGATTGCAATGAGCCAAGATTGGGCTACCGCACTCCAGCCTGGGCAACAGAGCAAGACCCTGTCACACACAGACACACACGCGCACGCGTGCGCGCGCGCACACACACACACACACACACGCCATTCAAACAGCAAAATCTGAAAGATTTTAACCAATTTATTTATTTTTTGGAAACTTTGTTTCTCTCTTTCACCCAGCCCAGAGTGAAGTGGCACAGTCTCGGCTCACTGCAACCTCTGGTACCTGGGTTCAAGCTATTCTCCTGCCTCAGCCTCCTGAATAGCTGGGATTATAGGCACCCACCACCACGCCTGACTAACTTTTGTGTTTTTAATAGAGACGGGTTTCGCCATGTTGGCCAGGCTGATCTCACACTCCTGACGTCACGTGATCCACCTGCCTTGGCTTCCCAAAGTCCTGGCCTGAGCCACCACACCTGGCCTTTTTTTTTTTTTTTTTTTTTACCAATTTTTAAAATGTACCTTTAACAGACTTTTTTTTTTTTTTTTCAGACCTGTATTCTTGTGATGATAAAAGGGGCCAGAACCAACTGTGCGTTCTTTTAGAACCTCTTCTCCAGCTACCCGGGTGGCCAAAGGTGGGGAAGAGGGGACAGGAAGAGTCAGGGCATATGGGCCCTGAGAATCTTTTGGTGTCTGGCTCCACTTCTCTTTTGTAGGGTCTGCTGAGGCTTTGCTAGGCCCAGAGAGATACAAGCAAGGGGTTGGGGCTGTGGAGACTGGAATGGAATATAAATAAAAATCAATAATCATATGCCTAAAAGTGTTCCCTTCATGACCTTTCAGCCTTTGTCAAATCATTTTGGGTTTTTTGTTTGTTTGTTTTATATTTTTTATATTTTGTAGAGATGGGGTCTCCCTATGTTGCCCAGGCTGGTCTCAAACTCCTGGGCTTAAATGACCCTCCCACCTTGGCCTCCCAAAGTGCTGGGATTATAGGTGTGAGCCACAGTTCCTGACTGGTCAAGGCATTTTGTATTGAAGATTTCCCTCTTAGACATAGACTGAATAATACCTAACACTTACACATGTAAAAGGATGGACTTGGGCATTTAATGCTCCTTACATGGCCAGTGATATGTAAGTCTAAAGAATTGTCTACTCCAGCTGAGTGCAGTGGCTCATGCCTGTAATCCCAGCACTTTGGGAGGCTGAGGCGGGCAGATCACCCAAGGTCAGGAGTTCAAGACCAGCCTGGCCAACATGGTGAAACCCCGTCTCTACTAAAAATACAAAAAAATTAGCCAGGCATAGTGGCAGGCGCCTGTAATCCCAGTTACTTGGGAGGCTGAGGCAGGAGAATCACTTGAACCCAGGAGCCAGAGGTTGCAGTGAGCCAAGACTGTGCCATTGCACTCCAACCTGGGCAACAAGAACGAATCTCCGTCTCAAAAAAAGAAAAAAAAAAAAAAAGAATTGTCTACTCCATTTAGTGATTAGTAATATTTCAGTGGAAAAGACCTCAACTGAGGATAATTGTTTGGATAAAAATATTTCAATTCCCATAGCAAAAAAAAAAATTCAATTCCAAATTATATTGCTTCCCCATTTAAATGAAAGTACAGAAATCCATTAATTCTGTAGCACATGCCCGAGAGCAGATAATAGTCCAAAGGGTGCCTTCTAAGGAAGGGTTGTTGGTTCTTTCATTCTTCGCATTATTGAGAAAACTGAAAAATGTTGGTCTGTAAGATGATTTTTTTCCCATTAGAAGAGAACGGAAGTAAATATCAGAAATAAGTAATATTTGTAGTCTCCAGAAAGGGGATGGCTTAGAAACTGGGATGAAGCAAGACTTACTCTTCACATCTGTACCTTTTGAATTTTGTAACAAGTAAATGCATTACTTATATAACAACGCATCTGTCAATAGAACAACAACGAAAGGTGCATCTTATGTCTCCTGACACTGACAAGAGGTCCTATCTCTATGGTCTTTGCTCTTCAACCAGGTGATCCCTTCAACCAGGTGAACACTACAAATCCCATTAATAGGGCTCTACAAAAAAACACAAAAATGAGCCAGGCATGGTGGCACATGCCTGTAATCCCAGCTACTTGGGAGGCTGAGCTGGGAAGACTGCTTGAACCCAGGAGGCAGAGGTTGCAGTGAGCTGAGATGGCACCACTGAACTCCAGCCTAGGTGACAGAGTGAATCCCTGTCTCAAAAACAAACAAACAAACAAGCAAAAAACTAGTTTCACCTGTTTCTTTCTATTTGCATAATGTGACTACTAGAAAGCTTAAAATCATACATGTGGCTCACAGTATATTTCTCTTGGACAGCACTGTCTGGAATTTACTGTGAGCCCAATGTGTCCAAGGACCTAAAGCTACTAGAGTGTAGTTAGAATGTGAAGGGCAAAGGGGTTGTGGCAAGGACAGGCCTGGATATAGGAAGTGATCGCAGCAGGCATGATTGCCCTTGGAGGTCATTTCAAGGGTTCAGACCTTCCTAAGACCATGGGAAGCTACTGGGGAGATTTCCTCAGGGCAGTGATAAGAACAGACCTGCATTTTAAAAAACACTTGGCTTTTGTAGGAAATTCATAGTAATGACTGCTGCAATCACCTATAGCTGTTCTGTGCACTTAGACAAAAATCCAAATTCCTCATCTCAGCCTACAAGGCTGTTTGCATTGGACTCCAGCGTCCTGCTGCCACCTCATCAAATGCCATGACCTCCTATTGTCTCTCTAAAACAGGGCAGAATCTTTTCCATCTCAGGACTTTCTAACTTGTAAATTCCCTTTGCCTGGAATGCTTTTCCTTGGTTCATCTCAGAACTGGCTCTTTGTCATCAGAGGTATTTTTTTTTCAGCTTCTGTGTCACCTCCTCAGAGAAGCCTTCTCTCACCCCCCTTCCTAAAATATCCTCCTCCAGTTAATTATTTCCTTCATTGCACTTATCACTGTCTGAAATTATCTTAGGGTTTATTCGTTTGCTTGTTTATTGTCTGTGTTTGCATATTAGGATATAAACTTCTGGAGAGCAAAGGCCTTGCTAGTCTAATTTGCTCTTTTATATGACAATGGGTGCTTTGAGGATGGAAGGGGTACAAGGAAACCTGTAGACCAAGTGCAGCAGAAGGCCCAGGATAGAACTCTAAGGAGGGTAAGTGTGCAGGAGGTGAATGACGGAGGGAGAGTAGGCGCTAGAGACTGAAGGAGCATCCAGGCAGAAAGAGCTGCGTCCTGCCACAGAGGGCCATGGAAGAAAGGGTTTCGGGAAGGAGTTCTCGGTCAATAGCAGAAAGTGATGCCTAGAGGATAAGTATAGTGTCCACTGTCTACAGCGAGTTGGGGGCATTGGTAGCCTTGGGAGAAGTGTGTTCTGTGGAGTGATGGGGTGGAAGGCAGATGGCAGTGGAGCACAAGGAGGAGGTGGTGAAATAGAGGGGGTAGATGTACACACCTCCACTCCTTCATGACATGTGACAGTGGGAGATCCAGGGATGGGGCTGGAGTTGGATATGGGGCCTTTGGAGGATTTTTTTTTTTTTTTTCTAAATCAAGTGGGAGACAGTTGAGCTGTTGGGCTGAAGCTGGAAAAGTTAAAGGAAACGGAGAGATTGGAGATGATATGCAACCTCTGCTTCCTGGGTTCAAGTGATTCTCCTGCCTCAGCCTCCCGAGTAGCTGGGATTACAGGCGCCTGCCGTCACGCCCAGCTAATGTTTGTATTTTTAGCACAGACAGGGTTTCACCATGTTGGCCAGGCTGGTCTTGAACTCCTGACCTCAAGTGATCCACCCACCTGGGCCTCCCAAAGTACTAGGATTACAGGTGTGAGCCACTGCACCCGGCCAGGATATTTACTCAACACTTGTGATTGGCAGACAAGGAACATGGTCCCATCTCCAGGAGGCTGCAGTGTGGTTAGAGTGGCAAGACATGGCAACAAAGGAGAATAACTCAGTGTGTGACAAGCCTACAGGAAATGAGTGCTGTAGTATTTCAGAGGAGAGCAAGATTAACTCCTGATGCAGTGATCAAGGAAGTTTTCATGAGAAGTGGCATTTGATTTGGGACTTGAAAGCAGAGGAGCATTTTACTGGCTGGAAATCTAAGTGATAAAAGAAAATAAAGGAGAAGGAGAGTGCATTTCATGTAAATGGACTGGCAGGAACAAATAAAGGAAATAATGTATTTTAATCAGTTTATCCTTTTGGCAAAGAAACAGAGACAATTTTTTTTTTTTTTTTTGGTCTATACTCTAATAAAACACAGCAATTTAGAGTAAGAAAGAGACTTTAGAGATTGTCTTATCAAATGTCCTTGTTTTCCTAGGTATGAAAACTGAGGTGCAGAAAGAAATTACTATTGAAAGTCACAAACTGGTAAGTGACAGAGTTGGGCTCTGGCTCACAAGTGTAGCTTCCACAATGACATAATTGTACAGGTTTTAAGCATAGAATATATTTAGTAAAACTACATCAAATTTTGTTGATTTATATCAGAAGTGCAAGGGAGTGAAGACTAGATGAATTGTTAGATTTTTTTTTAAAAAAGAAATATAGTTGTAATCCCAGTACTTTGGGAGGCTGAGGCAGGAGGATCACTTGAGCCCAGGAGTTCAAGACTAGCCTGGGAAAAAAGTGAGACTTCCTGTTTACAAACAAGCAAAAAATTAGCCAGGTGTGGTAGTGCACCTGTCGTCCCAGCTGCTTGGAAGGCTGAGGTGGGCAGAGCCCACTTAAGCCCATGTGGTTGAAGCTGCAGTGAGCCATATTCACGCCACTTCAGTCTCAATAACCAAGCGAGAACTTGTGTCAAAAAAGAAATACAGTTATGTAGTCATAGTGATTACAATTCCAGCAAAGTTTTGCTACACAGACGTGTCATTGCAACGTACATGAATGGAGAGACAAGAATGATTTGTTATTGAGAGATTAACGGATGACTTCCTGCTATTCACCAGACTTATCCTGGTCTCCTATGTCTTGGCCAAATTAAACCCCAATTGGCCAAAAGTGAAATTGAAAAAAAATCCATGTTAACTCAAAGTATAAATTCACAAAAGAGTGGGAGAAAGATCATGAGAAGGTATTAGTTTCCTATGGCTGCTATAACAAGTTAGCACTTTGGGGGCTTCAAACAACACAGATTTATTATTTTATGGTTCTGAAGACCAGAAGTCCAACACAGGTCTCACTGGACTGAATCAAGTTTTGGCACAGTTGCATTCCTTTCTGGAGGCTGTAGAGGAGAATCTGTTTTCTGCCTTTTCTGACTTCTAAAGACTGCCCACTTTCCTTGGCTTGTGGCCAGTGACATTGCACCTCCCTCAAGGAACTTGATCACCCCCTGACCACAGCTGAAAAAGGTTCTCTGCTCTTAAGACTCATGCGATTAGACCGGGAGCAGTGGCTCACGTCTGTAATCCCAGCACTTTGGGGAACCGAGGCAGGCAGATCACTTGAGGCCAGGAGCTCAAGACCAGTCTGGCCAACATGGCAAAACCCCATCTCTACTTTAAAAACTACAAAAATTAACCAGGCAGGCCCCGATAATCCCAGCTATTCGGGAGGCTGAGGCATGAGAATCGCTTGAGTCAGGATGGGAGGCAGAGGTTGCAGTGAGCTGAGATCATGCCACTGCACTCCAGCCTGGGCAACAGAGCAAGACTCCCATCTGAAAAAAAAGAAAAAAGACTCATGTAATTATGTAATTGGATTCAGTAATTGGATAATTCAGGCTGCTCTCCTTATGTCAAAGTCCTTAGCCTTAAAATCTCATCCATAAGGTCCCTTTGTCACAGAAAGAACAATTTCACAGGCTGGCATTAGGATATGGACATATTTGGGGATCCATTATTATTTTGCTTAATACAAAGAAGGAGGAGGAGGAAAAGACATACTGTGAATTATTAGAGAGATGACTTATACATAATTAGAAAAGAAAATCAGCATCGAGAGCCAGTATAAATTCATTAAATCATAGCAGATATTTTCTTATGTAACAGAGTTACTAGGCAAATAGATTTGGGGGATGCCAGAGATAAATTGATCCTCCAGTTTTTCTCTTAGGATGTGCTTGTGGAAAGATAATAGCATTTGTGTAAGGTGTCAGTGCAGCACGTCTATTCACAACTCATTAAACAACTGCTGAAAACTGGGAACAGGCATAAACCTGATGAAGGTCTCCTAGTGTGTCGTGGGGCTGTCTGTCCTTGGTCTCTCTATTTGCAGCGTTATCAGTAACCAGGATGACGACTTAAAGGTCTGATCTGATCTGCAGGTGACACAACAGTATTCAAATCTAAAGAAAATCTCAATACACTGGGAAGAGAAGATGAACACACATGAACTGTTACAATAACAAACGTGAAGTCTGAAATGTCAGGGAGAAAATCAGTTGAATAAAGGAAGGATGGGCCTGAATTTGATGTCAGTTTCTGTGGAAAATAAAAAACAAGGCTGGGTGCGGTGGCTCACACCTGTAATCCCAGCACTTTGGGAGGCCGAGGTGGGTGGATCACCTGAGATCAGCAGTTCAAGACCAGCCTGGCCAACACAGTGAAACACTGTCTCTACTAAAAAATATAAAAAAATTACCCAAGCATGGTGATGGGCACCTGTAGTCTCAGCTACTTGGGAGCCTGAGGCAGGAGAATCACTTGAACTCAGGAGGCAGAGGTTCTAGTGAGCGGAGATCACACCACTGCACTCCAGCCTGGGCGACAAAGAGAGACTATGTTTCAAAAATAAAGCAATTGCTGTGTCTGTGAAAATAAAAATGATATTAAGGGCATCAATTAGCAATTTTTTTTTTTTCCTTTTTGAGATGAAGTGCAGTGGTGCTATCTCTACTCACTTCAACCTTTGCCTCCCGGGTTCAAGAGATTCTTGTGCTTCAGTCTCCCTAGTAGCTAGGACTATAGGCATGTACCCCTATGCCTGGCTAATTTTTGTAGTTTTAGTAGAGATGGAGTTTCACCATGTTGGCCAGGCTGGTCTTGAACTCCTGACCTTGAGTGATCTGCCCACCTCAGCCTCCCAAAGTGCTGGGTGTGAGCCAATGCGCCCAGCCCAATGGCAATTTTTTGAGCATCTACTATGTACCAAATACTGTGCTAAGGGGCTTTACATGTCATATATTTTCACCCTTACCAAAAAATCTATAAGGAAATAATGATTATCTCTGTTTCACAGATGAAGTTATCGAGTTCAGAGATGTGAAGCAACTTGTCCAAGATTACAAAATCATCTATCTATATGAACTTGGGTCTGACTCCAAAGACCATGCTCATATAGCAGAATGACAGAAGTGTTTTCAAAGGCCAAGGAATTGTAGTTGCATTAGAAAAAGTCAGTATCAGCCGGGGAGACCACCCTGACCAACATGGAGGAAACCCCATCTCTACTAAAAATACAAGATTAGCCCAGGTGTAGTGGTGTGTGCCTGCGATTCCAGCTACTCAGCAGGCTGAGGCAGGAGAATCACTGGAACCCGGGCAGGCAGAGGTTGCAGTAAGCCGAGATCCGCACCATGACATTCCAGCTGGGCAAACAAGAGTGAAACTCGTCTAAGAGAAAAAAAAAAAAAAAAGTCAGTAACCAGGTCATTCTAGAAAATAGAAATAGAAATGTGATACATTTTCTATTTGATCTCCTCACTTGAAGAGGGGCTTTGACAAACTTGAATGTGTTTAGAGGAGTGTGACCAGGGTTCTGAGTGTTTTAGATGCTAAATCATATGAGAGTAATTGAGTGAACTTCGTATGTTTTGCCAAAATCTTGAGGTCAGGGTGGACAGCACAAAAACTGTAAATACTCCCTAAAATATGTGAACAGAACCAAATTTTCTCTTCTGGAAGTAGTGCAGAGGCAATTTCAATTCAAGAGAACTTGATCATAATGATTTATGTCATGAAGTCACCATTCAAAGGAACAGGCTTAGGTGTGAGTTTCTTGGAAGTAGCAACCAAAGTGTTTCATCTTTTGGAGTTAAATAAGTGGTGCTTGGCGAGAACAGGTTGCTCAATTTGTGTCTGTTGAATACATGAACAAGTGACTTGTCAGGGACATCATACAAGATGTTAGCAAATGGAGAAGCAAGTTAGAAGAGGTGAACTTTAGAGTTATTTCGAAGTTCGGGGATTTTTCTTTGATTTTAGTTGTTGACTGAGATAAGCAGGGGAAACAAGCTCTGGGTCTGCTGCTTTTTTTTTTTTTTTTTTTTTTTGCCTCATTGGTAAGTTCAAAGCAAAAATTCTAACGCCGTGATTGACACTGAGTTCTAATGACCTGAATATCAACATCAAAAGTATTTCATATTTGCAATTAAGATCAGGTCTCTTTCTAAACACGTTGACATTTTAATTGTTTCCTTAAAAAATTTTTTTTGGCTGGGCATGGTGGCTCACGCCTGTAATCCCAGCACTTTGGGGTTGAGGCGGGCGCATCACCAGGTCAGGAGATCAAGACCATCCTGGCTAACACAGTGAAACCCTGTCTCTACTAAAAATACAAAAATTAGCCAGGCGTGGTGGCAGGCGCCTGTAGTCCCAGCTACTCAGGAGGCTGAGCAGGAGATAGCATGACCAGGAGGTGGAGCTTGCAGTGAGCCAAGATCCCACCACTGGCACTCTAGCCTGGGCGACAGGAAGCAAGACTCCGTCTCAAAAAACAAAAAAGAATTTTTTTAGAGACAGGGTCTCACTTTGTCCG